AATGCATGTCAACAAAACAGTCGAAAAAGTTGATGCCCTTATCGCCCCTCATTAGGCTCAAATTTTGTCTGACGTCATCAGATTATTTAGCCCTTTCCAATATATGCAAAACGAAAAAAATTCAATATCAGGTGCACCGATTCAATGTGCGCCGTCAAACAAAATTTGAGCCTTACCAGGGGTAATAAGGGCCTCAACTTTCTCGGGTGCTTTTTTGACAAGCAATCTGAGAAAGCCAACGCAGCAGAGTAAGCATCAGCTCGGGAGACTTTAATACAATTGTAGAGTACATGCTTCATTGCACGGTGTGGCGTCAGGCAAAGATTGAGCCTTATCAGGGGTGATAAGGGCCTCAACTTTTACGGTTGCTTTTTAACATGCACTCTGGGAAAGTCATCACATCAAGGGAAGCTTCAGCTCGGGGGACTGCAATGTAAACATAGAGCTTATCCTTCATTGCACGGTGTGACGTCATACAAAAGTTGCGCCTTATCAGGAATGCTTTTTTGACATGCATTGGGAGAAAGCCAAAGCATCAAGGAAAGCTTCAGCTCGGGCTTTTCTAATATACACGTACAATATATCCTTCGTTGCATAGTGTAACGTCAGACAAAAGTTGACCCTTCTCAGGGGCTATGAGAACTTAAACTCTTTCGGCTACTTTATTGACAATCATTTCAGGAAAGCCAACGTATCAAGAAAGCTTCAGCTTTGGAGGCTCTAATCAAGACGTAAACTATTTCCTTCGTTGCACGGTGTGACGTCAGACAATAGTTGAGCCTTATTAATAGTGATAAGGATCTCAACTTTCTCGACTCCCCATTTTTAACATGTATTGGGAGAAAGCCAACTCGTCATGGGAAGATCCTGCTTGGCAGACTCTAATATAAATGTACAGCAAAGTATAGATAAACTGGAAGCATAACTTCCATAGAAGCCCATGAATCCTGCAGTTCGCGGATCGTTGCCACCGTTGCCATCTAGGTTAGGAGGGCACAACTAAGAGCAAACAAAAAAAATGATGTCACACTCGGAAGCGGTAGCGACGTCGCGCATTTGCCCTACATTGTGCTAAATTTACAATTCTCCTAACTACTGAGCTTTTACGTGCCGTAATTGATAAGCTATTTTATTGCGCATTAATTGTGTCTCGCTAATTGCAGGCGAGAGAAAAAAAGAAGCAAAAAACAAAGATTGTGGAAGCAAAGTTGTTTCATTTGCCAAATGATGTACTTGCAATATGCACAAGAAACTCCGCAGAGGCAATTGTGAGACAACTGTTCACTAGCACAATAGCATAACAGTTCAAAAACTCACACTGCCCAATCTTCGAAAACCACTGCAGAGAGACAGCAGCATTGAAACTATAGCTTTGGCAGCCGTATAGTACAGCGTCTCGTTGCTTAGCGTGTCGTGTTCACCGTCACCAGAGGCAAGGGAACGCTGGCCGCTCACCAGCGAAAGCAGTCGGCCGTCACAGAAGCGGCTCTCGACACATTCTATGATCCAGTTGAGCCCAGAAATGCTACACTGGTAAACATCTAATAAAAAGTAAGTAAACTATTGAAGGTACGCGCGAAACCACCACATAAAAGTGAGCGATGCCTCGTTTGCTTGGCAATGCACTGAACTAAGCACACGCTCCAAGGCAAAACCATTGGCTTATGTTACGAGACTGCCTGCATGTGCCCGCTGCTTCTGAAACTAAACGAGTAAAATCGGGCGCTCAACCACATACCAAAAACTGGAGTTTTCTTAGAGTAATCTTCTAAATTTTTGTAACAAATAAAATAAAACTGTTGAAAATAAACGCCTAATTATATTTACTTTCACTATTTGTCCCTTGTTCACCTTGTCGCGCTTCAATCGTCACGCGGTTGCTGATGTCTGTCGCGATAGGTTTCGGACCACTTTTCGTTCCGACTATCGCGACATATTTCGATAGACTTTGCGTACAGTTTATCCTTCGTTGCACTGTGTGACGTCAGACAAAAGTTCAGCCTTATCAGGGATGGTAAGCTCCTCAACGTTTTTAGTTGCTTTTGTGACATGAATTGCGCGAAAGCCAATACAACAGGGGAAGCTTCAGCTCGGGAAACTAATATAAACGCACAGTATAACCTTCGTTGCACGTTGTGACGTCCGACGAAAGTTGAGTCTTATCAGAGGTGATAAAGGCCTCAACTTTTTCGACAGATTTTCGACGTATATTGCGGGGAAGCCAATGCATCAGGAGAAGCTTCAGCTCTGGAGAAAAGGGAGAAAGGAAGAAATGGAAGAACTGGGTGGTTAGCTAGAGACATCGGTGAATTCTTTCGTATTGTGGTAATGAAACCCTCTTCCAAGAGCATTGCCCTTTCTAAGAACATATGCCTACTACACTGCGTATCATTTCATTGAACGTTCAAGGTTTTCGCAGTCCGGCAAAGCAGGCCGAAGTGATTAGTGTTGCCCATGCTGCGAATTATGATGTTTTGTGCCCGCAAAAACAAATTTCTTCTCGCTATCCGACGTGCTTGCTTTTAAAGGAAAGTTCAACCTAGATTGTTATTTCTCTTTCGTTGCATCTTGTTTTGCGGGAGTAAGCATTATTATGTTTATTATGGCTTCATTTCGGGATCATCATGCTTTTTACGATGGTGGGGCTACGGTTTTGGCTTTAGACTGCACCTACTTTTCTTTCAGATGAAGGATACTGTGTGTGTATCGGCCATGACAAGCTGGGTAGTCTAATTACTTTTTTAGAGACTTGGTTGTGTTTTAGGGGCGAAGCTGCTTAGGGCGTGGATCTGTCATTCCTCCGTATTTATGGAATAGTACGCAGCCACCGGTGGCACATACCTAGTCTAGAGCGGGTATGTGCCACAGGGGATGTGAGATGCGAGATGGCGGTACTTGGAGTGTTCACTAGATCGACGCATGGACGGACGGATAGAGGGACGCGCGGACGTACGAATGAATTGACGCACGAACAGATGGACGGATGGGTGGGCACACTCAGAGAAGGGCGCACGTTTAGACGGACGGACGCATGGATTGACGCGTGGATTGTCGCGCAGACGGACGGAAGCAAGAACGAACGGATGGAGGGAAGCATGGACTGGCTGACAAACACGTCGCCCCACTCATCATCATTCACTCCGTGAATATGTGGTGATTTTTTTCGTGACGGTCGTAATGTAATTTTAATTGGTGACATCAACTGCGTTCTCGATACGCGAACCGATGTACAAGGTCCAGGCGGGGGCTGGTCTCCTTGTAATTCACGAGAGCTGCGACACCTTTTCCACCACTTTTTGTTACTGGACGCGCACAATGTAGTGCACGGAAATACGTTTGTTTGGACATGGCGACGCGGACGATACACTAGCAGGCTCTACCGGGCTTATATTCCACGTGCGTTAGAGGCACTCGTCTCCAATATATGCATTACATCTTTCCCATCTTCTCCTATGTACGTATCTGATCATCGGCCTATTGTCCTGGAGCTCAATGTTCCATTTTATTTTTTGGAAGAGCCGTGGCGTCTTGATGTTGGCATCTTGCAGAACGCACGCTCAAGATTTGTCACGCGCAATACGTGTGTCGCTCACGGCATCTGGTCTTAAAGATTGGGATGCGCTTAAAACGCAGTGGTGCCGGCGCTGCTCAGTAGAGGGGCGTTCGCTTCGTCAACGCGTTTTTGAAGAGCTTGCTTACACTGCAATGAAGTTACACATTGCTTTGCGCACCAAAACACCTTCTCCTTTGATGCGAGCTTGGTAGCGTGAACTGCGTGAACGCTTTCAGCGCTTGACTGCTGCTTCATCCCTAGAGGCAGCAGTGTGGCGCGTAGACACAATCCAGTGCACACCCTGAGGTACTGCGCTACGTGAGATATTTGTTTTTAGGGGCGAAGCTTCTTAAAGAGGCATCCGTTTGGCCCTAGTGGCCATTGTAGTATGTAACAAGTATAACATTTTTGACCTCCAAGGTGGTGCTGCTGAGAGATTTTTTCTGTGTGTTGTTTAACAATAAAGAATAATGCTCTATGTATGGAAAATGAAAGACAGGAGCATTCCACTTTTAGTTCACGCGCACGCTGCGATCCCCATTAGCAGCCATGTACGTTGAGCACTATCTGACAAGAAAGGGTTGCGACGTTATACTCGCTGGGTGTAACCTCTTTAGATTTAGAAAGGTTTAGCGAGCGTTGAGCCGCAGTGCCATGAATACAATGAACTCGTATATACCATGAATGAACTCTAGGGGGCTAAAGGTGGGAAGTAGATACGAAGCGCAAGCCGTAAGAAAGTAAAAGCCTAATTCTCCTGTCTCTCATTTCCCATTAGCAGCCATTGGCATGTACATTGAGCAGTATCTGACAGGAAAAGATTGCTACGTTATACTGGCTGGGCGTAACCTCCTTGCTTTTAGAAAGGTTTAGCGAGCGTCGGGCCGCAGTGCCATGAATACAGTGATCTAGTATATACCACGAACTCGAGGTGGTTAAAGGTGGGAAGTAGACCCGAAGCGCATTTGGCATTAGAAAGCTTTGAACCATGAGATAACATTTAGGCAAATGGACGAATATCTGGTTGCCAAAGTGCGATGAAAACAGAATTTTTCTGTGCTGTCCAGTTACGCGAAATATCACTTGTTCCTTTAGTGTTCGCAATGCCCTGGTGTAAAGCCTTACAATATTGCTTACAAGATATGTTTTTAACATGTCTTGTCTCGACGTGGCAGTTCTCGTGTCAAGAGATAATATGAAGGTGGGTATTTAATGTGAGGGCTAGTACATGTTTCGCAGCGCAAAGAACTCTTTCCTGATTTATGGTGAGAGATATGAAACAAGGCCATAAATGAATGTTCCTTTTGACTTCTCGAGACCCACAACATACGGCGTTGTGAAATATTCCTTACACACACTCAAGCGTATACTGACAAGCTTTCTTCCAAATACATTCGTCCTGCATAGTGAAATGCAGATTTGGGTTATAATTATGAACTGCGTGAGATTTCAAATGAATTTAGATTTATTTTAGAGACTTCCTCAACGAGAACATTCGATAAAACTTGACTGTACAATAATAACAGTGTGCAGTATTTTTTTCAGGTAGCGTAGACGTTGGGCTGCAGGGGTCTCCACCACCAGCCGCTCGTATGTGTGGTCGTCTACTATGTTCCGGTCGTCTGTGTTCGTGATGTGTGATATGCTTGACTTAAGCCTTGGCCTTGCCGAGGGTGAATGTGATTGGGTGTACAACGGCGACTGGGGCCACGTGGTGGGCAGTGGCGAAAGACACGGGGGCAGCGGGCACGGCAATTGGAACTTGAGCGGCCTTCACGACCACGGGCTTCACGGCGGTGACAACGGGTTTGGCGACGACAGGGGTCGCTGGGGCCGGGGCGACATCGACGGCGGCTGAGGAGTACAGGGCATCAGCTGGGTTGGAGCTCGTGGTTCCTGGCTCATTGGTCTCGACGGTCACGTGGAAGCCCTCGGCGTCGGCGGTGTACTTGACGGTACGGGTGATGCCGTTGGGGTCGGTGTAGCTGTAGGAGCCGACCTTGTAGTTGTTGGCGTCACCGGTCTCTTCGCGGGTCAGGCGGGTGCCGAACTCGTCGGTGGTGTCGTAGCTGAAGCTGTATGGCTGTGGGGGCTGCACGACGGAACCAGAGCAGGATTTCAACTTTTAAAGTAGAATAGAGCAAAACCTTGGACAGTGGCGTACACCCGTAGAGGGGGATCGGCCAAGAACCCAGTAGTTTTAAATACAAATTCTTATTTATTAGAATAAATATCGTCAAGTTAAACATGAAAAGAAGTAGTAATGTGACAATATTTCATATATTATCAAAATATGAGTGAACCTGGTGATTTGGTAAGTAATAATTAGGAATTTCGACGCAATTTAGAAAATAGGAGTATGAGTTGGCTTTGCGATCTAAATCTGTTAGAGCATTGCATGAACTCCTCCAAGGTATCGGCAACCTTCCCATCACTGTAGCTCAGGGACAAAGCCCCGAACGCAAGCACATTTGGGTACATATGAACCTAGGCTGAGGAGTCGGCAAACGGTACCAATAGTATTTCTCTACAACCTATAGTATCTGTTAAAGGAAGTGAGATACTATTCTGTTCATTCATGTACTCCGCAAAATGAACAGTTGGGATAAGCTGCCAGATCACCTCTGTGTAAATAAAAATGGCCACATAGTCTAGGAATTGAACTTCAAGTTCTCTTGTTTAACATTTTTTACGGTTCCCATGGTAATTGAGGTGCTCAAATTTTCATACGGCCGTTAATATGGAAACAGGAAATTCATCCAACATCATTATTCTCCTTATTCTAGTGGATATTTATTTATTTATTCCTGCTCGCTCACTTTGCAAGCCATAAACAGGAGTGGGTTGCACAAAAAGTTAAAAAGAAGTAATGAACTGTGACTATACAGTGTGGAAAAAAGTAAAAAAGTCATAGATCTGTTTTGAACAGTATTTACAGCGTGGAAAATATAGGAAACAGTATATTATAAAAAAAACGCAAAGTATTGTAGGTGAAAATGCCGGCAAGCAAACATGTGGTTAAAAAAAACAGAACAAAAGAAACAAATTGTAGCTAATAAAAACGTAACGACAGAGGATTGAAAAAAATATAAAAAGATGACAAGACTGCGCAAAACAGCACTTGATTACTGAGCGCTCATCTCAGCATTAAAAAAAATATGTGTTGAAACACCTTGTGTCATAGAGTAGTAAGAGCATGGACAGAAAACGATATAGTTATATTATGAATTTGGATGCCTGAAATACAAGGGTAACCAGACCATTTTAACATATATTTGCCACCGCATACGCCATTTTAATCAGAAATAGGCCCTTATAACCTGGGAGCCAAACGAAGCAAATAAATTTATGTGGGGGAGAATTAAGGATTTGAGTGCACCCAGAACATCCGATTTCTTACTTCCTGATAGGGAAGAGCGCACCAGTAAGGTGCGCTCTTCATTATCAGGCAGAAACTCGTTGAAGGTGTCAATTTTCGGAGCACCGGAGTGATCGCTAAAAGTTCTGCTACAAACACTTTTAAGGCGTGATTATTTCCATTTATGTGTTTTGGTGTGTTCGAAAATGCTCTATTCAGACGGGGCGTGATTTATAGTGATGGAAAGTTGTTGAGTAATATTGGTTATGTTCGTCGATTATACACGTGTTTGCATTTTATGATAATGAGGACGACTTATCACTAAGTTAGGTTTTTTTTCATGGCGAATACATTTCTAGCTACGTCAACAAACCGTTAATCTGAAGTGGACCTTTCAGGGCTTCCATTAAAGCTCACTTAGACATTGAGTGGACATTGAGTGAAAACTCACGTATTCCTCAACTGGAGCTGAAGCAGCGACGGCGAGAATGCAGCAGAGAAGGACCTGCAATGTGCACAATTCCAGAAAAAAATGCTTTAGCCCCCAGTCACCATTGCTGTCTGATAACTTGAGATCAGACCGAAAGAGGAGAGCTACTCTGCACCTTGGTGAACATGGTGGTTCGTTGAATGTGTCGTGTTTCTCCCTGTCAAGATGAGAACAAGACTGGACCTTTGCAGCCAGCGCTGTTGCTTTTATATCGGTCCTAAAGAAAATTTCGCCTGATATTTAGAGGAGCTTTGAACGTGACCAGGTAATATTGGAGCATACATTCAGGTCCAGTCTGATCACCCGTATCATAATTAAGCAGCCACCGGACCCAGTAGCAAACTACAGCTCCTCTTCATATTGGTAAATGCGTCGGACGTGAGTCGTATGACAAGGCTGCAAGAAGTCAGTGACTCTTGACACGTCGCCTTTCACAATCGGGGCCTACATTTCGCCCGAGTTCATTGTAATCACGAGACACACGGCCATGCTCCGCTTACTATGCGGACGCCGTCGAACAACTTGCTTAGAATTGCAGCGGTGCTGAATGATGTGACCCTGTGTACAAGCTGACATTCCTTTACGAATGGAAGGCTTTCTCTTCTTATATCAGCAGTGCAGGTCATTGGTGTATTTTAGCTCAGATAACAGATTCATTTAATAAAGATAAAAGAAAGCTTTGAACCACATGAACACATGTAAACACACAAAACCGCATCGCAGCAGGTAATGTTGCGTAAAACGTTGCTCACGATAGAAAAGCATGGTTAAAGTTAAGCTGTTAGAGAAAATGTAGGTCAGCATCTAGTTGAGATGACACTGAAATCGTGTTTTCTTGAGAGCATTTCGCTGTGGTTGGACCTCGAAAGTTTTTATTTATATTGTGACGAAGGAACGCGTTTATTTATAGGAAATGGTTGAGATCGGTACAGCTCAGAGCCAGAAAACCGGCGACCGAGCTGCTCGTGAGCCAGACCGCTTCCACCTCTTCCTCTTCATGCGCCCATCGAGGTGTGTCATTTCCCCCGTTCGCAGACGATGCCCACTGGGCGAGTCAATAGGAAGGTTGGTGGTGATATGGCTTGAGGCGCGCGACGTGTGTCAGCTGTGTCTTGCTAGAGCGCCGACCATTGCTTGTGACGCCGGAGATGACGTATGTGACGTCACTGAGACGGTCAATGACTACAAATGGTCCGGAGTAGTGGGCCAGAAACTTTTGGCATAAACCACGTTTGCGGACAGGTGTCCACAACCACACCAGGTCACCCTTTGTGTAGGCAACGGAGTGATGGTGGGCGTCGTACCGGGTCTTGGAGCGCTGTTGAGATGCAATGGTTCGAAGGCGTGCGACGCGACGGGCTTCTTCAGCGCGGCATAGTGACTCGGCAACCGATGTTTCCACATCTAACGTAAAAGGCAGAATGGTGTCGAGGCAACTGCGGGGGGAGCGGGCGTAGAGCAGGAAAAAGGGCGCGTACCCTGTTGTCTCGTGTTTCGCGGTGTTGTAGGCGTATGTGATATAGGGCAGTACTTCGTCCCAGTTTTTGTGCTTGGCATCAACATAAATTGACATGTTCGTTAGCGTCCTGTTGGTCCGCTCTACGAGGCCATTCGTCTGGGGGTGATACGGGGTTGCGTGGCGGAATTGGCTGGCAGACAGGCGTAGGATCTCTTCAACGACGTCCGCGACGAACTGACGTCCCCGGTCGCTAATGACGACTCGTGGAGGGCCATGACGGAGAATGATATGCCGAAGCATAAACTGCGACACGTGAAAGGCTGTTGCAGTAGGTATAGCCGCAGTTTCTGCGTAGCGCGTCAGGTGGTCGACGCACACGATGACCCATCGATTGGCACTGGCTGAACGCGGAAACGGACCTAGAAGGTCGACACCAACAATCTCGAAGGGAGAGCTAGGAGGTGGTACGGGATGGAGAAGTCCGGGTGATGTAGTCGTGGGACGCTTGTGACGTTGACATTGTTCGCAACCCGCTACGTATTTTTCTGTGTCGCGTCGCATCTTGGGCCAGTAAAACCTTTGCTGGATGCGATGAAACGTTCTGGCGAAGCCCATGTGCCCACTGGTTGCGTTGTCATGGCAGAACCGAAAAATTTGGGGACGTAGAGTGCGTGGAACTACCAGAAGCAGACGGGCGCCTTGGCCAGAATAATTCTTCTTGTAAAGGACGGCGTCATGGACTACAAAAGAGCTTGAACTGGCCGGGTCATTCGCGGAGGCAAACAGGTGATCTAAGCAATGATCCTCGTGCTGTGCTGTCCGGAAAGCCGCGATGTCAGGAAAATGAGAGTCAATAGCTGTGATAAAATCGTCAAAATTATCAGCTTCACACTCGGTCGTTGGTAGAGGAAGCCGTGACAGGCAGTCAGCGTCTGCGTGGCGATTACCGCTCTTGTAGCGGACCGTGAAGTCAAATTCTTGTAACCGTATGGCCCATCGCGCAAGTCGACCAGATGGATCACGTAGGCTCACCAACCAGCAAAGAGAGTGATGATCTGTGATAACTGAGAAACGACGACCGTAGATGTAGGGGCGAAACTTGTGTACGGCGAAAACGACGGCGAGGCACTCCAATTCGGTAACCGTATAATTACGCTCTGCCTTGCTCAGGGACCGGCTTGCATAGGCGACGACGTGTTCAGCATTGTTGTGTCGTTGAATAAGCACCGCGCCGAGACCAACTCCACTGGCATCGGTGTGGATTTCCGTGGAAGCAGAGGGATCGAAGTGGCATAGTATTGGCCCGGAAGTGAGAGCGAACTTTAGTTGCTTAAACGCTGACTCACAATTTGGTGTCCAGTGGAAAGGGACGTCCTTGCGCAGCAAGTCAGTCAGTGGCTGGGCCTTTTCAGCAAAATTAGGTACAAAGCGGCGAAAATAAGAGCATAGGCCCAGAAAGCTTCGTAGCTCGCGGATAGACTGTGGCTGCTTAAACTTGCTGACGGCGTCCACTTTCTGCGGGTCCGGTCTAACACCAGCTTTGTCCACAAGGTGTCCTAAAACCAGTGTTTGCCGTTCACCGAAACGACATTTTTTTGAGTTCAGTGTCAAGGCGGCTTTCTCCAAACATGTTAGAACAACGTCAAGGCGATGATTATGTTCTTCAAAAGTTCGTCCAAAAATAACCACATCGTCCAGGTAACATAAACAAATTTCCCATTTAAGGCCTCTCAAGACGGTATCCATATAGCGTTCAAATGTTGCCGGAGCATTACACAAGCCGAAAGGCATAACATTAAATTCAAATAGACCGTCTGGCGTTACAAAAGCCGTCTTCTCTTTATCAACTGGATCCATGGGAATCTGCCAATACCCGGATCGCAAGTCTACCGAAGAAAAGTAGGAAGCTGAATGAAGGCAGTCAATTACGTCATCAATGCGGGGGAGGGGGTACACGTCCTTCTTGGTTATAGAATTGAGACGCCGATAATCAACACAGAACCTCCAGGACCCGTCTTTTTTCTTTACCAAAATAACAGGCGCAGCCCACGGACTTGACGATTCTTGAATTACACCAGTGGCTAGCATCTCGCCAACTTGTTCAGCAATAACTTTGCGTTCGGACACGGACACGCGATAGGGCTTTTGTCGGAGAGGATGAGCAGAGCCAGTATCGATCTTGTGACGAGCGCGCGTGGTCGGTATCTGAGCCCTAGGCACCTTCCGTGCAAAATCAAATACTTTAGCATGTCTCGCCAGCAGTGCAACCAGGTCTTTGCGCTTCTGTGAGGAAATGGACTTGCTAACCATTTTTGAAAATTCAGCTTCCATACCAGAAGTTTCCGGACCCGCCCTTTCAAGATCGCTTAAAGCTCCAATGCAGGTGCTGCTCTGCTTTTCGAACAGGGCAAGGCGCATACCAGCCGGTAGTACAACCGACTCGGGTGAGCTGTTTATCACCCATAATTGAGCCGTCTCGTCTGCGAGAGATACAATGCATCGTGGTACAAAGATGTTTTTCTTGAGACAAGCTACAGGCAACGGCTCAATCACTATGTCACGTGAATTCAAACTCGAGTTGGTTTCCGAAGTGGTCACTTGTACGCTGGCCGTGGACCACGCTGGCAGAAGTACATCTTTAGCTACAGTGAGGTTACCTTTCTCACAATCAGGCTGCTGGGCGAGAGTAGACAACAGAACCTCACCTGCTCCACAATCCACGGTCGCACGACACTCTCGCAAAAAGTCTATGCCAAGTATAACGTCATGCGTTGATTGAGCCAGTACTGTGAATTCCGCCTTGAACGTTTTACCGGCAACACTAACAGACGCAGTGCAGACGCCGACAGGACGCAAGAATGCGCCGCTCACTGCCCGAAATGTGGCAGGTTTGTCCCAGTGAAACATAACCTTACGGCCTAGTCGTTGCTTAAAAACTAAACTCATCACGGAAACACTTGCGCCAGTGTCTATCAATGCCATCGTGGGAACGTCGTCAACAAGTACCTGAACCTTATTCTGAAGCATAGAAACTGGTGGAGGCATTCTTTGATGAAAATCGGTACGTCCAGCGACCTCACCTCCGTCGGCCGCGCTGGCTAGTTTCCCGGTGGCGGAGACGACATTCGTGACCGGCGCCGTGGAGATGGTGACCGAGGTGGACGGGTGGTGGGCGGCGTTAAGCTGCGCACAGATCCGGGCGAATCACTCCGGTTGATCGGCTGGTAGGCGTGCCGCTCGTCAGTTGGGTTGGGGGGCCAGTAGGTGTAGTCAGGCCGTTGGCTTCGTTGTGCAAACGTCGCGGATCTCTGAGGGAATGTCGAACGTGGATTACGTCGCATTGGGCAAAATCGGGCGATATGTCCACGAACACCGCACTGGTAGCAGACGGGCCGTTCACGGGGCATAGGGAACGTCGCTGGATGTTGAGGGTACGCGGCGCTCTGTTCCCACTGAGACGCAAAAGGAGGTGGATGGCTGTTGTAGCCGTAACGACTGTGGGGAGCATAAGGCGGTTCTACATAAGAAGACGCCGGTGGTGGAGCCCTTAGCTGAGGGCCGCGGTTGGAATAGCTGCGCTCCTCGAAACTCGTAGCATTGATACTTGTGGACGGTGTATCGCACGGTGGTTCTCGGGCGTTCAAGGGCGCGTAAAGGTGACGACGAAGTTCCTCACGTACAATGAGGCGAATCGTTGACGAAAGGTCGGTAGGCACGGAGTCTTGGCACACATCGACAGTGGCGACGGTCGATGTGTGCCAAGTGGCTGTGGCGACAGTGGCTGCTCGTGAGCCAGACCGCTTCCACCTCTTCCTCTTCATGCGCCCATCGAGGTGTGTCAATATTATGAACTTCCGTGAAAGCGTATTTCAATATACTGAGCTATTTTCCAGGCAAGACTTCATAGAGGTAATGGGTTCTGTTCTGTCTATTTGTAGTAAATGTCTCTTGTGGGCCTATTAAGCAAATGTGTCGCGTTAGAGAATATGCTCACAGCAGCACGTGCTTTGTATAAGTTTAAATCCACAGTGGTTAAACAAACATCCAATCAGTTATGCTCACTGCAACTGCTGCGACTGGCCAATAGATAGGACAAGAGGGCTCACCTGTTAGTGACAAACTTTTTGGAGTTATCATTGTGTCATATATTCATCCAGTCGTCACAGTGTACGCATTTGTACTCACTCGGTAGCGTCTTGGGCTAGAGCGTATGCACAAAAATAAGGTAAGCATGCTTCACTGTTTGCCCATCCCACTACATTTGCGGTTAGTTATTCAGACTTTACCAGATTTCGCTTGACGCAATTAGGTGTAACATTTCTGTGTAAACACCGCGTAGAATGGCGGGTGTGGTCCCCATTATCTGGTAACATCTCTCGAAATGTATTACCTGATCTAAGTCTGCCACTATATATGGGGATCGCTTACTACAGCGTAACTCCGATGACAGTTTATAAGAAAGACATAAGCACTTCTAACATTCCCAGCTTTTCGCCTATTGTGTTCTCACACTTTGCATAGAATGTATAATGAAACTGATGAATGTCCACTTAGTGGGCTAACAGCTAACAACGTTTTCTCGTGACAGCTAACTGATACGATAAACTTCTTGTTTTGGTGTGCTTACGACTTCTGTCCATTGCTCTCTAATGAAGGTACTCAAGAAGATATTGTGAAAGTATTGAGAAGACATGGGACCACGCAGTAGGCTCAAATATTTACTGCTCATTCACTGCAGTTTTCATCTCCTTTGTTAACAGGCGGGCATTGTTTTTGTTAACATTACTCCGTTTGTTTTAACCCGCAAAAATGGAGAGTAGATAAGTATGAAGCAACAGTGACACAGAGGCACCATATAGATCACTTTAATTTTATTTGTTATTATCTCTAATGGAAATGAAAGAGAGAACACATGCAACCGAAACTGTTAGTTTTTATTATGCAAATAGTTCTCACTGCAGAAAAACTGCTTGGACTCCCATATGAATCTGTAACATCAAACAAACAGGCATATGCGGGCAGCGTGTGCATGCTGTTATAGTTTATCACAACTTCACAAGCCTATGGCAACATTTCAAATGCTGTGGATAGGTCCAAAAAAACACAGGCAAACTAGGGTATTATTATTATTATTATTATTATTATTATTATTATTATTATTATTATTATTATTATTATATTTTGGTAGATAACAACGCCTAGAAGCTAAGGGAGACCAATAACACAAATAGCTGGAGATGGTTTTCAACTTGAGAGTTTATTTCTTTTCATTTGGCTTGTTTTCTCCTTTGTTTTCTGTGCGCCATCGTATCTCATGCTGAAGCAATACAAGCTTGTTCGAATTTCGCTTCTGTTGATGTCTACAGCTTTAATAAGGACTGGTGTACTCATTGTGAAAGCAACAAGTGTAAAGTGTTGGTCATAAAAATGGCATGTTTTGTTATTAGTAAAATCATTTTGCTGAAAATGACCAGTTAAGCTAGATTCATGCATCAAAAAGAACAGCTTGACCAAACTAAGAGCTGAGGTATCCTGCAGCTGACCGGCAGCAAATGAACTCATGAATAACTACAACTTCAAGCATACTTAGGAAGTGTCATTAGGTAGCTCTTAGTCACGCCCCGCTTATTCATGGAAAGAAACCGTCAGTCGGTTCGGCAAGCTCCCATAAAGCTTCAAAAGCTCTCAAACTTTACGGTATAGAACCAAGTTAGAGTTTAAAGTAAATGAGTGCATTTTAGGACCCGAGAGATAAAAACACGTATTTGCAATAATGAGAAATTGCGCGTTAGAAATTATGTGCTAAAGTCGGCACTAAGCAAACAAATTTGTGCGGCTGATAAACATTTCACAACACAACTATTTGGTTTGTTCATAGATAATGCCTCTGTCCATGAGTGGTAAATAAAGGTCATGATCTTTTTCCTTTCTCAGCTACCACTACATTATTTGTTGGCGTGCCTGCGATTTCTCCAACGGAAGCGCATGGAATATGGTGTGAAGATAATCAAAGGCGTAACAATAAATAATTGGTGAGGTTTCCGATCACTTCTTAATGAATCTCATTCTTTGCAACTTGAACCGACATAGGAGGCACCATTCCGAACTAGTGTTATTCTCATGCTTAACATGCTAGCACACTAAGCAAATTTAGTATTATTGTGAAAGAGGGGTCGCCTTTTTACTAATACTTTCGTCGTGTTAAAAAAAAACACTGCGTCTAATGTTTGTGTGCTTTCTCTTGACACATGTTTTTTTTTTTCATTTTTGGCTACTCAATAATCTCTATATTGTGAACAGTTACTCGGTTTGTCAAACGGTGAAATACATGGTGCCACTTAAGCAACACACACTAGCACATTAGTTTGTCAGGAATACAGCAACAAATACATTTTTGGTACAATGCACATAGTGAACAGATTTGCTTCCAGCAAATACAAAAACCTGAACGAGGTTGATATCTTTTATTGGGCTTACAATACAAGACATTCGTGTACATAGGTAGACAAACAGTTCACATATAACATCAGATTGTCTTTTAGAAAACAGGTAAACACCGTCTCAAAGGCTATATTTCCCGAATGGTCCCTCGCATGAACGCTGTACTACGGAGAGGCAATTGTTAGGGCAGTCAGTGCAAGTATGCTGACGTGACTGGGAAATTAAACCTTTTGGGGCTTTTTTTACGCTTTCATAAAATTAACGAAAATTATTCTCGCATATTTTAATATCACCCTTCATTGCATTCCTCACATTCACCAAACAAACTGAAGCGTAGCTTCTGCACTAACTTAGCCTATTGATAACTGAGAGAAATATTTACAAGAAGGTGGCACCGGCAACTTATTCTATGTAGCGAAATTAAGGTGTCATGTCTGTGTAATCCTAATGGCAAGAGCTACACCAGGGCCATTCGGGATGTGCAGTGGCTTGACCAGAGGAACACGCAATGCCTTTCTAGCTTAGTGAATTAGTAATAATCCTATGTTGAGCTGTAAACATGAGAAAAAAGATCTTAAAATATTTCTGACCACCTCATATCAAGATAAATCGGGTTAGAGGGGCAACTAACGCCGACACTGGTGCTGAAAACGTATGGATTATATAGGATTATTAAGGGATGAAGAAGAATACACTGTTAGATGAGCTATACGTACAAACCGTTACATAACGTGTGGTGGCGCACTCTAGGAAACAAAATGACTCCTTTGGCTCTTGGGAATGCTCATTTTCCGAGCGTATGACTCTCTTTGAACAGACATGTTCAATGTTTTCACAGATTATTCTACTGAAATCATATAGATTAGAGATAAAAACAGATTTTGCGTGTATGTTTTGCAGTCAGTTGTGTACGCGCAAAATTAGGCCTCACTGAAAAGAGTAACCCACACTTTTTCTCCTTACACTGCGTGGAGCATGGTCTGGTTTCATGCCTGGGGTACATTTTTTCCTAGTCTTACAAATACCCTGATATTGACATTGCATCATCCAGAAAAAAAAGGGAGCATTAGAAATAGCACTAGGTGATTTCTGAAACACAGTTTAGCTTATTACTACGCCTTCAACGTTCAATATTGAAACAATAAGCTTATCAGCACGCACAAGAGAGTTACAATGAACAAAAAAAACTGTAAACTAAACACCAAAGTTGCCTTGATACCTTAATATTGTAACAAGCGAGTCTTGAACGTCCTTTAACGACTCTTGGCTTTCCTCTGCACCGAGACGGGTACTCTGAGCTGTGCCGTTGCGAATGAGATGGGCGCGGCGTGAAGGGTCACGGGTGCTGCGTGTACTGCAGCAGGACCAGCGTGAACGGCAACAGGTGCTGCCTGTACGGCATCCACGGGAGCCGCATGCAGCGTTACGGCCGTCGGTGCAGAGCGCACAACTACGCCGGCTGGGACACCGTGCAAGGCCTGCACGGCGACAGGAGCGGCTTCAGGTGGTGGCTCGACCGCCGTGGAGGTGATTTGTGCTTGGGCAGGGTTGGAGGTCCGAGTTCCGGGCTCATTAGTCTCTATGGTGACGTGAAAGCCCTCGGCATCGGCGACGTAGCGCACCGTGCGTGAAATGCCATTCGCGTCTACGTAGCTGTAGGATCCAACCTTGTTGTTGTTCTCGTCGCTCGTCTCCTCGCGAGTCGTACGGCTGCCAAACTCGTCAGTTGTGTCATACCGGAAGCTGTACGGCTGGGGCGGTGCCTCCTCCTAAAAGGGTTCAATTTTTGAGCAGAGAGACGAAGAGGTGGTCAGTACAGCGCTCTCAAGTGTGACATGAAACTGGTCAGTGGGGCAACATGCCACCTTGTGGTTATTGCCGAAGACTGTATTTGCATGTGCTTAGAACACTTTTTCTCTGCATTTTCTCTATACGTTGCCAGCAGATTTTTCAGTCTTCACTAACCTTCCTTCCCACCGAAAGACTTGAAAGCATGAATAACCCAGTTTGTGGATTCAAAAAAAAAAAATAATATTAGTTCTTTATTTAGATCATTGCATTTGCGAAGACATAGCCTGCGTTAGTAAGGCGTCTGGTGCCCCT